GGAAAAGGAATAAATGTTGTCCCTTTAAAAAATAAATAAATAAATAAATAAAATGAAAAGTAAAATTATATATGAAAACATGTACTTTATTTTATATTTTTTGAGTCAGGGTCTTGCTACGTAGGTCAGGCTGGCCTTGAGCTCATTATGTAGCCCAGGCTAACCTCAAACTTATGGTGATACTCCTGCTTCAGCCTCCTGAGTGCTGGGATTACAGGTGTACACCACCATACCCGGTTTGAAAACATGTATTTTAGAGATCAGGATTTCTTACAATGCCCAGTGCCTGACATCATAAAGCCTTGTGGTCTGACATACAGTATGTCAGGGCTCACTCAGCACATGTGAAAGGGGAGTTAGGATCCATTGTGAGACCTTACTAGTGTCAAACTCAGGTTTCTAAGATTGAGGCAAAATGATAGCATATGAACATCCAGGGTGGGTCACAGGTATATCAAATCCTTCCTTCAGCTAAGGGAGGGTGTTGTTCCTTATAAGACCCAACCCAGGCCCAATGACATAGCTCAGTGGCACAGCACCTGCCTGGCAAGTACAAGGTCTTGAGTTCAATTCCTGGTTATCCCTCCCACCCCCCAAAAAAGACCCAACCTGATGAGAGGGGCTAGAAACACAGGCAGGAAACAGTAAAATGTCTATCACTTACTTGTCCTGGGACTCAATATACACATAGAGATGAGGCTCAAAACACTTGGAAACAATGCCATGAAATGGATTGTCTGGGGCTTTAGGTTTTTTTGGCTGTAAAGAAAAAAAGAAAAATGAAATTCCATATTTAGGCAATCTTTGCAAATTTTCAAAAAACAAATCACTTCAAAGTTCACTCTTAGGTCTTAGATAAGAGAGCATTGAATGTAATGAAAGTGAGAATATGTCCTGCAGCATGACTGATCCAGTCTGTGAACAAGACACTGACTTTGTCAGCATCACTTACTTGCTTGTATGATGAAAGATTTTACTGCCACTTTGATAACACAAGCATTTTCAATCTGGAAGCTATTCATCACCTGATTGATGTTTTGAGTTTAAATGAATGACTTACTTAGGAAATACACACTGAAATGTTTAGGGGTAAAAGGTATTATGTCTACAACTTTTCCAAATTGTTCTGTAAGGGGAAGGAGAGTGGGGAGAAAATAATAAGGTAAATATAGCAAAATGTTAACAATTGCTGAATCTAGGTGAAATATATTCAGAAGTTCCTCTTTGAACTTTTCTCTAAAGAAAAGAAAAAAAGCCACGTGTGGTCATGCATATTAGTAATCCCAGCACTTGGGAGGCTGAAGCAGGAGGATCAATGCCCACTACATAGTGAATTCAAAGCAAAACCTGGTCTCAAAAAAGCAAAAACAAAGACAAAACAAAACAAAAACTATGGGGGAAATGTTGCCCATGTGCTGGCAGAGAAATCAAAGCAACAGCAGTGGCTTTAAGAAATGCCTGCCACCAACATTTCACACTGCAGAGAAAGACAATCAGGAAACAAAAAATACAAGTGTCCAGGCCTGAGAACCAGCAGATCAATTTCCTGGTCCTGATAATGCTGTCACCACTGCAGGAAGCCGGGTGATAGGTACACAGCATCTTTTTTTTTTTTTTTTTTTTTGCAGAACCGGGGATTGAACTCAGGCCCTGGGATTGAACTCAGGCCCTTGCGCTTGCCAGGGAAGCACTTATTCCACTGAGCCATCTCCCTGGCCCCACAGCATCTTTTCGTGCTATGTTAGTAACTTACAAGTTTGTAAGTATTGCAAAATATAAAGTTAGTTTTTTTTATTTTTTGAGACAAGGTCTATGTTGCCTGAGTAGGCCTCAAAGTACTGGGCTGATGCAATCATCCTGCATCAGCCTCTCATAACACAGCTGGGACTACAAGATCCACCACAGCACCCAGTAAAATAGCAGTTTTTAAATAAGTGGTTTTAAGTAACTAGACTCTGCATGTGAAGAAATTTTAGGAGTTTCTTAAATCTATTTTGCTTATAGTTTCCTTTTAAGTATGCACAAAAATGATACTTGATTTAAGAAAAACAACCAAAACCCTGTGTCTGAATAAGTCTTAAGGGCTGAACTGGGAAATATAAATATAGATCCAAGGTGATAAAAGAAAACAGCTTCACAATACTCTGAGAAGCTCAGCTTGATCAGTCTTTGTAGGTGCTTTGCGAGGTTCCCACAGAGAACTGACAGAGAGAACCACCAGACCAGGCTCACATCCCTACCCACCCACGGGTGACTGCGCTGCATCGCCTTTGCAGCAAGGAGAGGCTGCTAGTTTCTGCCACCGCAGCACATAGGTCTTCTTGTGTGTTTGCAGTATGAATTGAAGCAAGAGGGCACTGATGAGAGGGACTGCCCAAGTTTCATTTTCTTAGTTTTCTCCCAAAAGGGTAGGCCTTTGGCCTATAGCTGCTTCATGAATGTGGTTGTTCTGAGATAGTAGATGCTGAAACTGCTGATCAAATTTGGTGTCTTCCCTTGCATTCTCAGCTCCCCAAAAGGTTGATCCTCAGCTTAAAGAATATACTAAGTCATTTAGCAGTAGCATTCAGGCTGAACTCCTGAGTGTGTGAATTCTGTCCAAAAACTGCAGACGTTTAAGCCATTTCCTCCTGCAGTTTGATGGAATAATAAAAGGTTACTGTTGTCACAGTAAGGAGGTCTGCAGCTGGTCCCATTTCCTTTCATTACTATCCAATATAAACAGATTAAATCTAACTGCTCAGATCACCAGAAGGGTACATTTTTAAACCAAAAATTCCTGACTTTTTTTTTTATTCCTGACTTCTTTTCCCTCTTTCATTCCCCCCACCCCCCTTTGAGATGTCTTTTTTTCTTTTTTTTAATCACTGGAAATATCTTGGCAACTAATTGTTGGAGCCTTCTAACAACCTAACCACTACTTCTCAAGTTTACTCTGCCTTCCTAAAGCCCAGTGTTAACTGCAGTAGTGAGCAGAAAGTGACCCTGACCTTGAGGGTCAATTGCCTGCTGACTGCAGCAACACAGGGGAGTCAGCATATTTCCTCAACCACCTCTGGCTGGTTCCTGTGAACATCCCATGGAGTTCCTCCCCAGCATGCATAGCGCTCCTTTTCTTCTGTGCACCCACTTCCAGAAGCCAGTAGGGTGCTGGGAAGAGGGAGACTCTGGGTCTCCATTTAACCAGCCACAGGGAAGATAAATGCTGATGGGATGACAATAGAAGGTCAGGGGTTACACTCAGGAGGCATTAGTCACTGATGTGTGAATTTTATTACTAATGAAGAACAGCAGCAGTTTTTCATTTTGTGTCTTTTCTTCTTTTCCTTTAACAGACATAAAATCTTAGGTTCAAAAGAAATTTTATCTGGAAGTCCACAATACAAAGTTTTCTCTATGACTATAGTAGGTCTTATGTCTTTCCCAACTTTCCAAAGTGACATCTAAGTACGCATTGAGGAATACAGTTTGAGGACCACTAATTAGCCTTCTCTTATAAACAAAGGGGCTGGGGAGATAGCTCAGTAGAATAAGCGCTTGCCTGGGAAGTGCAAGGGCCTGAGTTCAATCCCTGGTTCCACAAAAATAAATAAATAAATAAATAAATAAACAGAAAGCAGGGAAGTCCAGAAAAAGGGTCACACAATCTGCTAATAGATCACAGCCCAGCATTTTCTCCATCAGGTGAAGCTGCATTACTGTGTATTTGTCAGATGTCAGTGTCCTATGTCTTTAGAATGGGTAGGTCACAGTCTTACAATAATTTGAAAATTTCATGATGAGTAATAAGTTCCAGAGGAAAGAAAAATCATACTTTACCTGTCAATACGGATGGCACAGGCAACGAGGGACTCTCATATTCAATGCAATAACATTCACAGACAATTAGCCACTGGACGACTTTTTGTGGCCTTTGAATGTTTGAATGTACAATCTGCATATGACAATGGCAGCCAAGGGCACCGTGGGAACATATGGGCCCTGAAAATACCACAATTGCAAAAAGCATGCTCCTAGTAGCAGGCCCAGGGAGAGTGTAGGAAATAGCAGAATCAGACTCCTTACCTAACTCCTTGCGCCCAGTGTGAGGACTGCATTTCTCTGCATAGCAGAAAAATTTTTTTCTCCTATGTTTGCTCATAATATGACAGCTTTAAATCAACTACATCTATTCCACACATCTCTGGGATACTGCCTCAAGATAGCCCTTCAGTTTTGTTCATTCACTTTTTTATGAGCTTCCTTTCTGTGACTCCCACTTATTAATGACACATGGCTGTACCAAACATAAGAGCCTGGGAAAGAAATTCTGGCCTCTAATTTCCAGACTTGGCCTCCAGTCTGAGCTCCTATACTTCTAAACTATGTAACTGGGGAAGTTTAGTTTTTGAGCTATAGTTGCACACCTATAAGAAAGTCTTTTTCAAAGTAAAATGACATATAGCACATAGATTTTTATTTTATTTATTTACATTTTATGTATTTGCAACAGGGTCTCACTATATAGTTTAGACTCAGCAATCCCCGTTTCAGCCTCCCCAGTGCTAGGACTACAGGTGTGGGCCACGATGCCTGGCTTGAAAGCACATAGAAGATTTTTGGATTGCTTCTGGGCATGGTGGTACACATCTATGATCCCAGTACTTGGGAGGCTGAAGCAGGAGGCTTGCTATGAATTCTAGGCTAGCCTGGGTTATATAGTGAGTTCAAGGGCAGCCTAAGTTACACAGTGAAACTTTGTCTCAAAACACACACACACACACACACACACACACACACACACCCCAAAACCAAAAATAGCAGGCAGGGCTAGCTGTAAAGTGTGTGCCTATGGGTTTCCACATTAATTCTGGTCTTCCCCATCAGCCTCCTTTTGGTGGCGTCTGAAGCAAAACGATGTAATAAAAGAATCCTCTAGCAGCCAAGTGTAGAAAATTTAAAAGGCTCACTAAGCCAGAAAGGAAGGAAATATTCTGATTTATTGTTCTAACATCTCTTGTCATTAAATGGCACTGAAACAAAAACACCATTCTGTAGGATGAAGGGAGATGAAATTTAGAGTTGGCAGAAAAAACTGAAGGAAATTAAAGTGCCTGTGTGCTCTGAAAAGTAACTCTCCAAAGATGCCATTGGTCATCTTGGTATTTCCAGGCTTTTCCAATGGCTTCCAGACCTAAAGTGATCAGCGTGTGCTGTGCAGAGGCCTCTTCCAACCTGAAGTGCTACTAATGGCTCTGGATCTCTCACATCATCACTGTACCAGATGAGAGTTCAGAGGAAAACTCCACAGACAAGCTCAGGAAATGATGGATGAGGCTGAGCAGAATTCAGCCCTGCTGTATGGGTTGATGAAGCCCGTGCATGTTGCTGAATACTGGAGGCGAGGCTCTTTGGGAACACAGCCTTCTGCTGGGGCAGGAAGGGCTGTTCTTTCTCTTGATTATCTAAATGCACTCTTAAAGGCCCTCTGTAAAGACCCACTGCTATAATCTCTGAATGTGGTCAACAGCCAATGGCTCACACTTGAAGAGAGCCAACCATTTTCAGAAAAGAAAAACAGGTTTCACATGGCTATGCAAAGCAGACTTACTTGATCTAACTCCCCCTTCTCCAGTGCCAGCTCCTCCATCTCTGGTGTTGGCTCATCTTCCAGGAAGGGATTGGTAGATGGTAGTGGAGACTCCAGCTTTTTCTATTAAGAAGACATGAGAAATATCTTCTGAGCATATTCCGTAGCCTTTCCAGTGATCTTCCCGTTCAGCTTCTGCTTTTACCACGCCCCCTCAACAGCAGAGTCATGACATTTGATCTTATAAATTAGAAGAGAGGCAATATGGACCATAGTCTGACCTCTAGGCCTTCACATTGCTCTCCTGTCTTCTAGAAACGTTATTATTCAAAATTTTGTGCCCCCCCACTTTATGGTGATCTAATTGCATTGGTTATAAAGCAGCTAACCAGTTTTTTAAGATACGTTCTCTAGCCAAGTCTAACTTTATTTAGATGCTATAGATGGACAAGCTGATTGTTTGAACCAAAATGGGAATATTAACATCATATCCCTCACTAATAACATTGTGATTTTGCAGTCAAGTGTAGATTTCCCCTTCAAAAAAAGTTTGTGACTATTTTGTATGGCTTGTCTGGAAACTTCTATAAATCTTATGTTTTACTAAATTTTTTTTTATTCTAAAAAAAAAAGTGAATTCATCTGGGCAGAGTAGTTCAAGCCAATAGTCCTGGCTACTCAGGTGGCTATGAAGGACTTGCTCCCATCCCACACAGCCTCATGCAGTTATTTATTAAAATAAACTACCCATTTATCTTCTGCCCACTAAATGCCATGATGGCAGAGATCATGTTGATCTTGTTCTTGTTCCCTATGCTATCTTTGGTGCCTGGCATGGATCAGGTGCTTAATAAATACCAATGAACCACATGCCAGGTGAGTTTGAGTTCCACAACAAATTATAAAATAGTCTCATGTGTTCCAGATTACAGACAGAAGTCCCTTCCCAAATAAGTTCCACTACAACAACCAAAACTGAAATCTCCATGAGTAAAACTACTTCCCAGCTCCTAAATGCAAACACTATTTCAAAACACATTATTATTATTTTTTAAATGTATTTGGTTGTTACAGGATCTCACTATGCAGCTTGGACTCATAGTGATCCTTCTGTTTTCAGTGTCCCCAGCACTGGGATTATAGGCATATGCCATTATGCCTGGACTCTGTGGCCAGATCAGCCCACCTTGGGGGTGGGGCTGGCGCAACATGTGGTGCTGGCGATGGAACCATGGTCCCTGAGCTTGCCTAAGCTTGTGCACTTTAGTCTGCTGAGTTATCCTGCCCACCCCCAAAATACATTACTGAGAGGGACCATGGACTAGTGGGAAAGCTGTGGGCAGAGACATCAATTTTTAGCTCCAACTTTGTTCTGCTTGCCAAATCATCCAGCTTCTCTGAGCTACAGCAGTTTCATCTATTAAATGAAGGGACCACTGAGATAGCTCGGTAGAATAAGTTTGCCTGGCAAGCGCAAGGGCCTGAGTTCAATCCCTGGTTACAAAAATAAATAAAAAAAAAAGCCTTTCTTAGGGCTTGCGGAGATAGCTCTGGCAAGCATAGGGTCCTGAGTTCAATCTCTGGTACTGCCAAAAAAAGAATCTCATCTATTGAATGAAGGGGCTGGCAAATAGCTAAGTGGATTAAAGCACCTGCAAGCAGGTGCAGGGGCTGGGGTTTAATCCATGGGCCTGCCATGCCAGCCCCACCCCCAGGGCACACTGAGACGGCAATTGAGACTGGGAGTAGTGGTGTGTGCCTGTAATCCCAGCTTTTGGGAGGCTATAAACAGGCGGGTCACTATGAGTCTGATCTAGTAGTGAGACCCTGTACACCCTGTAGACCCTTCCCTAAAATTAAAAAAAAAATCTGTATCTATATTTATAGATATAGATGTATATAGACACGGGACTATACAAAGGTCACTGATGATGCTAATTCAAGTGCAACTACTCAAACTAGCTCTTTGGGGATTTATTTGTTAATAATTTTGTTTACTTTTTTAAAAATTTTGTTTACTTTTTAAAATGAATTTAATACAGGGGATACAAGGTCTACAGGGTCTCACTACATAGATCAGACTCATAGTGATCCTCCTGCTTTTAGCCTCCCGAGTGCTCGGATTACAGGTATGTGCCACCACGCCCAGTCTTAAATGCCATCTCAGCTCATCTCAGGGCAGGGGCAGAGCCGGCACAGCAGGCCAGGGATCGAACCCAGGCCACTGAGCTCTGCCTAAGCAGGTGCTTTAGTCTATTGAGCTATTAGGCCAGCCCTGTTTGTTAATAATTTTGATCTAGAGATACTGCTTATGCCCCAGATGCTGGGGATTTTAACAGAAAGGATGCTAAGTAACAAGCAGAATAAAAGGGATTCAGGATTGGCTGGTACCAGGGATAAGATGAAAGAACAAATGATGGCTCCCTAGAAACAGGAAGCTAAGTGGAGTTTCTAAATGTGCTTGTGAAATGCCAGCATACATCAGTAGAGCAAGCTGAATTAATTGCTAAGCAAAAGAGACAGCAGATGGACTACAGTGTGAATGACTCTGCCCAGTGCCTGGACATCAAATGAAGGTATTACAAACAAAAATGAAAAGTAAAACTTAACAAATACTCTGTCAGGGTCTGGTTTGGGCTTTAAGATAATTCTGCTTATATGTATTTAAACCACTTGGTTCTTGTCCAAAACGCCTGGAAATGCTATTGTGTGAATAAACAAGAGCCTAAGTATATGAAGAAAACCTTCTGTTGCTTGTATTAGCTCCCAGTAATCATTAACAACACAATGGCTTTTGCAGTATTTGATGAGAAACAGTACTTTCGCAGTACTCTGTTGTGGTCCAACAACCAAACAAGCATTTCAAATTTGCACACATCAAATCTGAACTTTGACTTCTTTTCAAGAACTGCTGTTATTTTGGGGAGAGACTATAGCTTAAGCTTTACCAGCAATAAAGAAGTGAATTAATCTAGGCGTGGTGGTTCAAACCTATAGTCCCAGCTACTTGGGTGACTGAGATGGGAAGATCACTTGAATCTACAAGTTAAAGGCCAGCTTGGGAAACTTGTCTCAAAAAATGTTATATTAGTTAATAGCATTTAACTCCTGGTTCTGTTGACTTAAGAGTGGGTCTTGGAGTTTTACTACTGAGCTGAGTCGCTATGATTCTGAGTTTTTTTGGCACTCCGTACATATGAAAAGCAAACCAGTTAACTAAAGCTTTGTTCTAAAACCACTCAGTGAAAAAATAAAATCACTCAGTGAAAGAAATAAGATATGAATTTTGGAGCTAATGTCTCCCATCATTGCTAAGGTGACTAGGGTTACATTCAAGTGCACCTCATTTTTA